CTGGGTATGTATTATTGTAATTTTTACTTTATTTATTTATTTTGATTTAATTAATATCGTCGGTACACGAAGATGGCTAACAATAAGTAAAGTCAAAGCAAAACGCTCGCATTCACAATTTGAGTAAAAAGTTTCTAACTAATAATTATAGATGCTCTTGCTTTGTTTTCTATACATACAGCTGTTGCTTTTAACGGGTGGTTTTTATTGTTTAATACATTTTATAATTTTTCAGAATAATACTGGCGTTGTATCATAGCCGTTAACTTCTATTAACACCGCACGTTTACATTAAATTGTAAATGTATCGCTATTATAGATAAAGATTAATTTCTCGTATATATAAATATATATAATATATTCACTGCACATAAGGAAAATACTTGTACATCTTTTAATGACTCTCGTTAGTCTCTTTCGTACTATTGCTAAATATTTATTGTATAAGCAAATAGATAAACGTACAGGATATGCATTCTCTTCAGGTTGTTCTATAGCGCGGATGCAGATATGGAAAGTGCGAGTCAAGGACGTAATTCATTTAGAAAAGATTACATCTTTTTTTCATTTTGTGGTAATTATATTAAGTTAGATCAATTAACGTTAATATACTTTTGGGAGCTCAAGAGACATATAGATATAATAATATAATTCAATTACACACACACACACACACACACACACACACACACACAAAACTTTTATATATTTATATATATAAATAAAAGCCCTTTATCTCAAAGTTGCAAAATATTTTTGACTTATAAGTAGATTCAAAGGATGCGATACAGGAAATACGAAATTTTTTGTATTTTCTGTATACAATTGATTTATAATAGTAATAGAAATATTAACAAGACTATTCAAAAGACAATTAGATAAATTAAATGAAACGCTCGTCATTAAGTAGATATTTATTAAACAGCCTTGGTATTCTTTAGGCTGCAACAATCATTGAGCGTAAATTACAAGAAGTAAATCAAGTTTATTGCATTATTGAGGGAATGTAATGTTCATGGTATAACCAAATATAACATTATACTAATTTCATTGTTCATGCGTTGCTAAATGAAAAGTATATTTAATCCTTTTTTAAAACAGCGAACCCGCCAGACCGGTACAATGATGACTAAATAATTTCCAGCATATTCTTTGTCGATTAAATAACGAAAACGAATTGCTTTAATTGCCTTATAAACGGACTTTACACTTGTTCCACATTTATGCTTATAACTTAATACATGTATAAGAATTTGTCACTTTTTAGAAATTAACACGCGTTAATATAGTAGAAATGTAAGGCAAATTTGTCGGTAGCAATTAAAGAATCATTAATCTTTTGAAGAAACACCAAAGTTCTCCGTGATTATAGACACAAAAAAATTATTGCAACTCCACGCAATAATTAATTCCTACAGTAATTTGATAGGCGTGTTCTCAAACGCTGATATAACGATCCTGCCGGCGAGATCGATTGACAAGCCTGATAAATCTTCGTTATATATGTTGTATTACCTCGCAAAAAGCTTATATTGTTGCGCATACGTTACATTCTAACGGAATCTTGTCAGTAACTGTGTTAAAATTAATATCGACTTTTTTCAGATTCTAGAATTAAACTGCTATAAATGAAATGAACAATTAATTTATGAAAATTTGATTTAAAGCTACTTGCTCCATTTTCGTCTGCCAACAATATAAATATCGACACTAAAATAGATCACAGAAATAGATCCCATGTCCTTCGGGCATTGCGCAATTGCACTTTTTTTGCAGGTTTTGCAGGAAAAATGTACGATATGGTTGAACGATTATTGGTTGAACGTTATGTACAACTGTAAATTAGACGTTTCTTATGTTAGCACTAAAAATATTTTTCAAACCTAGATCTTTACGGAAAATATCCGTAGTCTAAATTTATTTTTGAAATTTTGTATCCGAAAACGCAACAGAACGCATCTTTTTTTACCTTACATGCAAACTGTTTATTTTTTATGTTGCAATTTATACATTGTGACGTGATTGCGCAACCATGCTTTTTGCATGACTTGTTTTCTGCTCTGATATATTCGCTATTATACATCATTAAATATTCATTTATGTATATTCTATCTTTTTTCCCACGCTGACTAGAATAAAGATATGTCTAATGGAGTATATTGATGTTGATTTAATGCATATCAATACCACCTTCGGCCATTTCCGCAGTCTCGATGGCTTGTACTTTGCTCTTGACAAAAAGCAAGATACAAAAACGCCTCTTACAATTAGATTTACAAAACGCGTGGGCGTAAAATTATTGCGTACCATTGTAGTGCAATCATCGTCAAAATGCAGGTTGCATTTTCTCCTTTCTCCCCCAAATGTTGGTACCTTTACATTTTGCTATTGTCAGATAAAAAGTAAAAATTGATTGGTAATACTGATGTATTACCCAGTACACTGGAGAAATGCGTCAATTATAGTACCTCCTGGGTGACGTGGAAATCTATTACTAAAAATATTCTCGTCAATGTAATTAATATTCGAAAATTAAAAATATACTAAAAAATGTTTGTTCACTTAAAGAACAAATTTTTTCTTGTATCGAAAAACATATTTTTCTTGCATCTTACATTTCGAAGAGTTAATCGGCGCGTATACTCGAATACAGGATTAAGTCCGTGAGTTCCGGAAATGTGGAGGTGAGATCAACGAATGCCCCGCGGAATCCGGGGACACGCAGGTGTTTGCAGGTGCGATCGATCGATCGGGGTCGTCGTCGCGGGGACGCGTTTCACGGCGGGTATCGCGCGGCGACGCTTCTTGTACCACGGGCCCAAAATAAATATTTTTCGTTATCAAAATTCCCTTTTAATAAAATTTACCTTCTAGAAATAAGCATTTACGATATATAAAAGCTAAACGTCATTCAAAGACAAGGGTATGTTCCACGTTCGTGTGAAACGTATAATTTTGTCCTGTAGCACGCGTGGGTTATCAATGTGATTCATCGCCGCGAGATCCGCTCGTGTCTAAGGCTACCAATGGAAAAAAAACGAACGCGGAATGCCGCTAAATTTAATGCCACGAGAGACGGTGCTTTAATTGTGATATGCACGCGCTCCTTTCAGACCGAAGGGAGTTGCCCTGATAATAAGCAACTTATCCGAGCGACTGAATGATTGATCATCAACGTTGCGTAGCAATATTCACCGTGTATCATTGATGTAATATTGGACGCTTTATTGGAAAGTAATAGACAGACGCGTTCCATTATTAAACGTACCCGTGGAAATACGTGGAATATGCTAATATTTTTTCCCATCCCTAGGCTAGTTTTACGTTGGTTAACTGCTAGCCAAAGGTTAATTGATTCTCTGTCGCTTCTTAGATAACAAGATAGAAAAGATAGGGAGTTGAATGAACTCACAGTTAACCGACGTTTGTGAAATTGACCCTAAAACCGGCTCGCTTGCCGTTTCTTAAGTTGGAGACACACGAAGAAACTGAAGCAGTAAGACTTCAGGGTTGGGAATGTTACCTTAAAAAAGTAACGATAAATGTTTACAGCGCATTTATATTTTTGTCCAATCAAGAATAATGCGCGCGACCAACGCGCGATCTATTGAACAGGTATAAAAGATATTAGGGAACTAAATTAACGATAAAAGTAATGGCTGAATTCTTTACCGTACTGTAAAAATGTAACGACGTTACCGTTACCGTTACAACCATAAAAAATAACGATTGTTACAAAAAAAATAACGAAAACGGTAACGGCGTTACAAGTAACGCGTTACTTCCCAACCCTGTAAGACTTAAGCGTTTCAATCAATCGGAATTTCCATCGTTGCTTACGTTTCAAAATGGCTGCTTACGTTCTTGACAGTCATTTCCCTTAAGTTTTAAGTTTTACCGCTTAAGTTTTTCGTGTGTTCGGGCTCTTACGTCGCCTTAAGTTTTTCTTGCATTTCGTAGGCTGATCTTGCGATATCGCGTCAAATTGATTACATTTGTGATAACTTAATGCTATATCATTCACATATGCATTGCCGTTGTATTAATTATATACCTCTCCTGTTTATTGAAAAATTGTAGTAAATTTGCAGGCATAACTGAACAACTGAATAGTCAGAAGAATGATTAATTAATGATTAACTACAACGCTAACGCTAACAATTGATCGTAAGAAGTAATGTACCTGAAAAATGTACCTGATAAATTTTTGCTTGGCAAACCACACACCGTTTATTGTCGCTCTTTAATTGCAATCTCAGGCTGAGGCTGTAACAGTAATATACTCGCACGCAGTAACATTGGTAACCAATTTAATAACAGCAGTACTAATAAAATATCTTTAGAATCATTGCAAATGTTAGATTTGCGAAGAATTTTAGGGGAACGTCTTTTAAATTGTTATCATATCGATCAAGCTTTGCTTGCGATTTCTACACGTTTGCCTTAAAAGATGTTACGTTTGATATTTATTGATTGCCATCATCACATGCCTCGGCGATCAAATTGCTAAGATGCGCCCATCCCGAAGGGGAGGGCCATCCCATAGTAGGCAGACTCGAACTCTGGTTGTGGTGACTTGTTTCACAGCACACCCCTTGCAGTAGTTCGAAAGATTCATGTCTATCCAATGGTGCTACGGATCGAGTCGGACTCGGACCTCCTCCGGAGTTTTTCACCTACGAGGCTTCGAAGTTGTGAGACAGGCTTTATTTTCTAGGACTAGGTTGTCAGCCTACTGTCCAATCCGGAGGGCTAGATCCCAAAGTGCGATAAGACGATTGCCTTCAGAAACCAGTGGTGTTCCTGGTTGGATTTAAACGCGGATCTTTTCGTTCATTCGTTTATACTGAACAATGCACATCTCTTTGAAAGGCACTCGTTAGTATCGATATTATTAAATTGGTAATTGATTAATTTAATCGCGTGATTGTACTAGTGCCGACTTGAGGCTGCGTTTCAAGAGTGGTCGGTAATTGGTGTATAGTTTGCCAAAATGTACACAAATTCATGCAAAAATTATACACAAAAGATTCAGCTCGATGCACATTTTTTTATTTAATTGCTAGCAACTGAGATAGCGTTGGAAAAGGCGTTTATTCGGTTGTTCGATTGTTATCCGCTATAATTCAAGTATTTATTTATTGCGATTGATCAATGCCGCAAGAATATAGATCCGCCAATACCCCAATGCTATAAAATCGTATCCCTTATTGTCCCCTTTAAAATTTTACTTGCAGGAACCCTCGCGGGCGGTTAGCTGGAGCAGTAGCTATGTGTAGCTCTCTGCCCCACCAGCCGCTCGGTAGCGTTTGCCCGCGCCAAGAGGCGCGTCACGCATTCGGACGAACACGCATGCGTTTGGCGAGAGAACGGAAAGAGGGTGGAAACGCCGACCAATGGCTGTTCGACGAGCGGTGGCTGCCCGGGCGGAGCGTACGGCTTAAACGAGACGCAGCACAGGCGGATTCTGCCACACGACGTCCGACAGCCGAGGGAAGACGTACGTCGTACCGTCCAAGGAGAGCAGATCTTAAGAGTCTCCTATCCTTGTTAGAAGTCCAGCATTTCTTTCCCCAGTGAGAGTGTCCTTGGTGACAGTTGGCCGTTCTTGAACTTCCCTTGGTAACGAGTCGCGCGAGATTTCCCGCTCGACATGGAAACGCAAAGCGAGAAGCGAAAGGCGCAGCGCGGGTTTTGAAGAAATCCTGAAAGAGGCACAGATAGATAAGTAGGTGAAGATGCTTCACGGCGCTCTGCCGCGGGCCTTCCTGGCCCCGGGTCTTAACTACATGAGCTACTACAGCGAAGAGATTCATCCTACTTACGCTGCGCCGCCGACCACGTGGCATATTCCGATGGAGGATCCATCCTCGCCGATTTACTCGCGGATCCCACCAGCTGAGCATCACGCGTCGTTGTCCTGGGAGTCCTCGAGGTCCTCGACGCCGTGTCCTTTAGATCTGTCCTTGAAGCCGCCGCCGACACCGAACACCCCGAAGACAGAAGAGATGATCGAAGTGGGCGACGAGAAAGATCTCAGGGTCCGCGAGGAAGTCCAGGTTTGCCCTGAAGATCGCAGAGACACTGAAGAGGATCAACAGCTGGTTGTGGACGACCTGGACACATTACGAAGCTCTTCGGCACAGAGTCATCAAAGTCATTACGAACGACTGGTCCTTAATAAAGAATCGCCTCGCTTCCACGACTCGATCGTCGACAAGCTCCATCATTTCCCTGAAGAGAGTACTCGATTGCCGCCGTATCCCGGAAGTGAGCTCACCTCCAAGTACCACTTGCATAATCAAAAGCTCCTCTTGGCGAGTCCGACGCACTTGCAATCGATGCAGAGCTATCATCAGCAGCTACTCTTGACACCGCAGCAACATCTTCAGAGTGTGCACGCGCCCATGACCCCGCCTAGCACGCCGTCACCGCCTCAATGCCCCAGAAGAAGAGCCCGGGAGGAAGATCTCGTTTCGCCATCCGCGGGACCACCCGCCAGCGGCGCCTCCTTGTCGACCCCGAAGCAGCCCAGCAGCGAGAAGACCACCGTCCAGAGGCCCAAGAAGAAACACGCCAGGCGGCTCAAGTTCGACGAGGACACTAGCAGCCCGGTCTCGGGCACTGTCATTTTGGGTCCGGACGAGGCGGTAGTGACCGGCGACATCGATCCCGCCTTCAACATCGTCGAGGTCACGGAGGAGGCACGCGCCGAGCTGGCCAAGATCGAAAATCGGCTTGGGCCGTATCAGTGCAAGCTTTGCCGGCAAGTTCACGAGGACGCCTTCCAGCTGGCCCAACACCGGTGCTCCCGAATCGCCCACGTGGAGTATCGTTGTCCCGAGTGTGACAAGCGGTTCTCCTGCCCGGCCAATTTGGCGTCTCATCGACGCTGGCATAAGCCCAGGCTACCCAACGCCGACAGTTCCGCGACGTCGTCGTCCACATCGTCGTCGTCGTCGGGGGGCAACGCTGAGATCCCGTGCACCAGATGCGAGGCCAAGTTTACGAGGCAAGCTGCCCTGCGTAAACACCTCGCCACTCAACACCCTGAAACTAACAACAACGTCAGCAATAGCAATAACAACAACACCGGGGCCGATGGCCAGGAAACCATCGGCAAGTCAGACGTCGCCCAGACAGTCCCGACTAGCCAGTTGTCCAGCGAGATGACCTGACACCAATTTCCAGCGAGACCCCTGCCGAGACGACCTGGGCTTTACTGGAGATTCGGCCTCGATTTGTAAGAAAAGCTAACACCTTTTTCATTCACCAATTGATCCGGCGGTTATTGTTACGAGTACATAATCAAAACACTCAGCATGCTCCTTCTAGGATCTTTTATGGAGTACCATAGTAGAGTTTCCCATGAAGGAAAGAAATAAGAAAAAATGTCACTTGAAAGAGAAGAGCATTATTGTTATTGTTGCTAAGAAGAGACACTTAATCTCTACTTATTATTATCGTTTTGTCGGTTCAATTTACCTCGTTATCGTTTATTTTACTTTAGTCTTATCTTATTATTATCGCCTTATCGTTTTGTTTTAGCTCATTTTATTTCATTATATATTTTATAGAGTTTTAAGTTAAATCATTTAAATTAGAGATTAAGTGTCCCTTCAATGTATACTCTAGTTATTTCTAGTCCTTATATGTACAAAGATGACACTATTTCTAGTCCTTACGTGTACAAAGATCGTCGATAAAGTAATACTAAAAAGAGTTAATAATACCAAAGAAGCTAGAAATGCCAAAAAACTGGGCACACTAAAGAAAAAATATTCAGTAAACCAAATCTAAAAGAAAAGAAGTGACTGGTCATATTCTATCATACTATTGTCTTTTTCGAAGTGCTCTCTTTCCATAACTTCCAAGGAGACAATACACAGTGTAGTCACTTCTCTCCTTCAGGCCTTGTCAAGGGAAATTTTTTGAGAGAGCACACGTTGAAGATAATCTTGTTCCTTAAAAGTGGCTTCAGACCAACTTAACTAAGCTGGACAATCATAAGTGAACATTTATGAGCGGTTTTTTTTGTATTTGCGGCACCATCTGTATTCACCAAAGCAAGCTCGTTCGTTTGTATTTGTTTGCGCTCTTTACTTAGTTTGGAGCCACTTTCTAGCACATGAAAACGTTATTAAATTTCACTCATAACATTCACCGGGAGAAACAGGGTTGCGTATGATCGATATCAGAATAAGTATAAATCTGCATGTGTATGTCAATGATATCATATCGATAGTGACGGCGAAAATTAGGTACTGAATGAAAAATGTGTATTTCTTCATTTTATTCTACATCCTGGCATATGCCGAGTATATATATATATATACATATATATGTATATATTCCCAATAACTCTTAGCAATTTGACACAGCGCCATTGACAATTCCAAAATTACACCGTTCTAATGCATAGAAAAGTATTAAAAGATTAATATAAGATAATTGCTAGATGTGTATTAGACACAAGGGTCACATTATTTTACGACTAGATAGCCGTTATGTATGTAACCGTAGATTGAATTTATCGAGTGCACTATTGCCAAAGAAATATAGTAATTGTAGAATCCAAAGATCTCTCTAGTCATCTCCAATTACTTAAATAATGAATTCTAGTCATAGACTCGTGTCATGTAATTAGAAGCAGGTTTTAACGGGGCGTGTATTCTTTGTAAATTCCTGTAAAATTTCGGCGATGTTAATCGCGAGCAGACAATAGGCGGAAGGTTTTTCGTGTGATGTAAATATGTATACAGCGTGAGCGATGTATATATAGCGAGGCGCGATTAGGTTAAATGATAGACTATCTGATATAACGATCTCAATTTGTCTAACGTTAAGTTGGCAAACGGATTTATACGCTCTTTAGAAGGAGAAATTAATTTTAGCAGAACACTTAACTTCGGCGGTGTTTGGTAGGTTTTCATTTTCTTGCGACTTTTGTACACTCGTTCATAATTCCACTATGAAAAACCAAGACACAGGACAACTTGTCCACATTTCCGTAGTATATTTTATAGCATGATAGTCTTCATAATTTTCTACCTTTTTGTAAAACTATTGTTATCTACTCCTAGTTTTCACTGAAGATGATCCAAAAGAAGGATCGAGACGTCTGAGACCATTAAAATATTACTTTAAATACTGCGCCTTGATTCTCGCATTGGCGAGCCTTTCCTACGTTACATTATGTTATTTATGTTGGAGCCCTTTACATATCTATTATAATTCCATTATAATAAGTTATAGTTACATGAATTTATACAAATAATTAATCGTAATTATATTTTTTGTACAAATCTATAATTTTAAAGTAACTTTATCACTTATTATATTCGCCCAATTCTTATCTTGGCTATTAATTTTACATTTTTATTTTCGATTTTTAAAAGTAACAAATTAAATGATTAGAAATAAGCTTGCTTTCTCGATTTTATTTTATTTTCTAATCGATGATGAATATTTTGAAACAACATTCATATTGAATATTTTGTTCTTGAATATGCTAATTGTAAGGCATTAATCTTGTACATAGTATTGTATATAGCAATCGCATTTCAGCTCATACAGCTAACATAACCAAAGTTGCAGTTAAGACATTCTAAATAATTATAAAGTCCTTGTACGGTTTTAAAATTTCTAAAGTCGAACGGTTTCATAAGAAGGGCATGAGGCAGTCAATGTAAACAAAATCCTCTCGTGAATTTCCTTCGTTATTTTCCCTTCCAGAAAAAAAGAATCGAATTACACCACGAATTCCAGAGTAACTGCCAAACAACGAATTAGCATCAGAGTGACTTGTGACCATAGAATATTCATCTTTAAGAAGGAACAAATTGAGTGAATCTTATTGTCGCATGATAGTTCAAAACGTGATTATTCAAAAGGAAATATTTTTCAAAATGTCGACCAAACTGGCAAAAAGTGATCTTTATTTAGTTCACAACGTTTCGACCTCTTAATCGGGTTCTTTTCAAGTGTGGTCTACAGTTGTCGGAGCAGTGCTTAACCGTGACAAAGAAAGTTAAGAGTTTAAGAAGGAAACTTTATGACCACATATACGAATGTCGCTCTCTAGTATGCGAACCAAGTTACTTATCAAACCACCCTCGTAGTTGGCCCTTCTCCTCCTTTAATTTACATTGCATTAGTCTAGTAGTTAGTTAGTAGTCTTTTTACAAATTAATTATATGTAGAAAGGGAATTATGAAAGTTTAAAAACACAAGGACTTTTGAAGATCTTTCAGCTTGTATTAAATCTCTTAATTAGGAATAAGATTTCTTTTTCACTTTATTGTTCTTTTCCTTTCTTAACTTTTATACCTTAGTAAACGGTGATGATAAATGCTTTGAAACAATTAATTTGTTTCTAGTCAGTTCAATCCGAAATCTCGACAAACACACTCGACAATTTTACTCGCGTCAAAAAATTAACAACGCAATCAAAAATCGACTTTGCACTCTTCAACCAAGGAGTGCAATAATTTTTTTTACAAATATGTAAGTGTATTTATGTATTTATTTTATATTTATTCCTACTTATTCTTATTTATTCTTATTTATCTTCATTTATTCTTGACATTTATCACTTCGAAACAAAGTAAAGTGTAACGACTCTCTTGCTTGTGCACAGCTTATTAACATGACAATATTGACCAAACGAGCGATATGATTTCAATGGCAATTGTATGAATAAGGTATAGATTTGCGGTTTGCTTTCGCTATAATTATTTACGCTATATTTTTTATATTTATATATTAAAAAAATAGTGTTAAGTTATGTATGTTGGCAGAATACTTGATAAGGGTCCAAATCCGGGACCGAAACGTCGTTGGTTTTTTAAAGAAAAACACTGGCCAGTGTAGGTCGTTAAAAAAAACTATCATTAATTAATTTGTTTCTGAATTTATACACCGACACGTCAGCCAACGTAAATAAAAAAATTAATGAAGCTATTCATTAAACTATTTCTTTATAATGTTCTTCACAATGTCTTATTATGTTTCTTTATAAATAAATCTGTTCACTAAACATACTATAGTAAATAGATTCAAATTGGCACAAGTGATACATATTTTATAACCTTCCTTATGAAATATCGGACTATTTTCTTTAAGTGCGGGCGATCGATCCAATTGTATCTAATAGTATGATAATGATATTAACAGCAGTTTCTCTCGAAAGTTATTATACGCACTCATAATAATGACAAATAAATGTTGCGACTATAATCATAAGAGCAAAACTTTGTTAGAGATACGACCGTACATAGTTAGACAAGATGTACTTTAATTTTTAATCGTGTAAGATATAAGTTATAACAATAACTAATACAGTTTCCCGAAGTTCGCAACGATGAACCAGCTTTCGGAAATAACGAGAACGTGACAGGAACTGATCATGAAATGAATAATGATCCGGATGAGGCTAAGGCTGAAGACGAGAATGTTCTTTCGGAATCGGAAGATTCTAATTCGCCTAATGTAAGATTGTTCTTGTAAGAATAAATATATTTATACACGAGTATAAAGAGCAGGAAATAATGAGTGCTTTTGTCAAGTAATTCGATATTATTCAATAATACAGTTTCCCGAAGTTCGCAACGATGAACCAGCTTTCAACAATAATAATAACGATAATGCGACAGGGACTACGCAGGCTACATATACTACTACGCGGCGAGAGATCGCGTAGACTTTTAAAGCGCGGCACCCACTAGAACAAGTTGTACATACACAGGTTGAACGCCTGTACGCGCGTATGTATGTATAAATGTATGATATCGCAGTATTCGTTCAATCTCGCGATAAATCCCGCACTTGCGTTACTTGTATCACATGCGCTTACTTCATTGTCAATCAATCTGCGGATGCGCCAGGCTGTCTATATCTGTAAATAACGTCTTGACTTCTGAAATACATGTATCTAAAAAAAAATCGACTCTTCTATTTTTGCACCTGATATCCATACTTCCTGTCCATCTCTGTAAATAATGATTTAATTTCTAAAATACAAAATGTCTCTCAAAAAATGACTCATTTATTTCTACAACCCAGTGCCATAATACCTGGTCTTTTAATAAATATAGAGATGAAGATTTCAAGAACGATTGTACTGATGATAATAATAATCCAGAACGAGCATTAATTCAAACATTATAAATCGGGAAACGATAATATTCATATTTTATTTCCCATAATTCCGCGAAAAGAAAAGAATGTCTGGTAACTCTTCGAATTTTCAGGGAATTTATTTTAAACCTACAAAAAATATTCCAAAATTGTGAAGGCTCCCAAAAGAAAAAAAACCACGATTTATGCCATTGTGGAACTAAATACATCGAATTGTATATTATTATTAAATTATTACATTGATCCATTGAAGATTACAAGGATCTTACATATTGATCAAATACAATATACATGTGTTTCAATTCCACAATTGCATAGATCGAAGTGGATCAGCTGAAGAAACACTCCTTCTTTTTAGCGGTCGGAATGTAATTCCATAAAACCATACCCAGAATTCCAGTGGTAGATTTT